TAATGGCGCAGTTGACAACAGTTGAAATGAAACCGGGAGAAAAGGGGATGACGTATATCAGCCGATGTCGCGAACTGCGCGACAAGCTTCTTCGATGCGGAGGATCGATCTCCGAGGACGCCTTCGTGACAGTCATCATTGGTGGTCTCGGTCCCCAATGGCGCGCCACCAAAGCTATCCTCCGAGCCCACGGCAGAATTTCTGAAGCAGCACTCTGCGCCGAAATCCACGCCGAGCAGCAGGACATGGACCTGCAAGAAGAACGACACAGAAAGAAGACGACAACATCAGAGTTCGCGTTTCACACTCAACGACGTCACAACAACTACAACAATCGACAGCAACAACCGAAGCCAGTACCTCCTTTCTGCCACATCTGCAAGACTTCAGGGCACCCGCGCACACATTGCCCAAACCGTCAACAGTCAACAACTCCGCAGCGGCATCTACGGCCTTCAAGCAATCAAGTTGCGTCAACACAGGCGAACCCGACGACTCAAATTCAAGCTTCAACGACCTCAACGGGACAACCTGCACAAGAAACAAGAAATATCGTTAGCTGCATGGCAAGACTGAGTGACTCTTGCGTCACGGAATCACCACCATACTACTCACCAGAAGAACAGCTCGATGAAACGACACCTCGCCGCGAAGCACTTCAACCGAATCCAACCTACGCAGCCATCGCCCAAAACGAGCCATCCGGAAAAGACACGTGGTTCTTGGACAGTTGCTGCGGGCAACACATGTGTTCTTCAGGACGCTTCGTGCAGCGAGAGTACCAGCTTCAACGGGAAGTTGTCATCACCGTCGCCAACAATCAGAACCTGCGCACACGACGACAAGGAGTTGTTCAACTTCAGTCACGAGAGACAAATGTTATTTTGCAGATGTCCAAGGTCCTAATCGCAGAGGGCTTGGGCTACAACTTACTGAGCGTCAGTCAGTTGATGGCGAAAGGCATTCATCTTGAAGCAGACAGCACAACTCAAGAGTTCAAGCTGTACCACGGGAGAGGAGGTCTCTACATCGGGAAGGCGGTCCTCAAGAACAACGTCTTCGTTCTCGACTTCGTTCCCGATCTTGGCACGGCCGACAGCGACGCCATCGTAAACTTCACCAACTGGACACATCCTCCAGATCTTGATCCAGACTTCAGTCCGAGCGGTTTCTGGTACTCGCACACCATTTCTGAAACAGAGAGAACAAGGGCGTTAGCGACAATTCAGCAGTCGGCAGCAGCAGAGACAACATCGGCAGCAGCACAGACAACATCAGGAGCAGGAGAAACAACATCGACAGCAGCACAGACAACAGCAGCAGCAGCAGAAACATTAACACCAGTCACTGGTCCCTCAACGGCACAGCCCTTCATCAACGAGACGCCGCCGACACCGGCACAGCAGCTCAACCCGGCACCACGGGAAGTTCACAGAAGCGCGAACATCATCGCCGGCTTCTACTCCAACTCCGACATGTACCGACGCTCGCCAGGACACCGCGCCAATGAAGAAACCTGGCACGCAAGAATGGGACACCCAAGCAACACAGTATTAAACAACACGATAAGAGCTGGAGTACTTGACAAGGATTCACTCTTACTGACCGACGGCAGAGAACTTCAGCGAGCTCGAGGAACATGCTTCACCTGCCCCGAAGCTGACTTACCACATCAGCCCTTCGTTTCGCATCACAACCCAAGCGCACCTGCATATGCACCACTCGAGAAAGTGTACAGCGACATCTTGTACAACCGCGAACCCGGACAAAACGCGTATAACTACACCATCACCTTCATCGACGCCGCTACACGTTACGTCTGGCACCTAAACTTACCAAGTCGCGACATGGCTTTCGAGGCTTTCGTGGCATGGCTTCCAGCAGCAGAACGGGAATCGGGAGCTAAGCTCAAAAATTTCCAATCAGACGGAGGAGGAGAATACTCGTCACAGCGGTTCAAGCAGTATCTGGCGGAGAAAGGAATCAAGAGACTCATCTCCCTTCCCTACGCCCATCAACAGCAGGGTGTAGCAGAAAGGATGAACAGGACTCTGCAGAACACCATGCGCAAACTGTTACGTGGCATGCGGCTACCCAACCACCAGTGGCCCGAGGCAATGGACCACGCCGTGATGCTGCACAACTTGCTTTCTTCGTCGTCACTCCCGAACAACACATCACCGCATCTGCTGTGGACAGGGAAACTGGGCAGCACAAAAATGTTACGAGTCTTCGGCTGCATGGTACAGTACCGACCCCCATCTGCACGAGCCGGCCGATTCTCCCAACGGGCACAGTGGGGACTACACCTGGGCATCGAAAAACATTACAACGCGTGGAAAATCTTCGACATCCACACCAAGGAAACAGTAGCAGCACGTGATGTCATTTTCTACGAGCGGCTCACACTGCCAACATACCTTGCCAACCTGGACGAAAATCGAGACCCCACAGGTGGCTTCCGTGGCGATCGAGCCTTCGCTTCGGCAGGAGACGAAGCTGACTGGGACGAGCAGAACGTGGAAGGAGCCTCGGAAGAAGCCGGACCTCTCCCCTACTGCTCAGTGGACGTACCGATGGACGAAGATAACCCTCGCGAAAGCGTCAACGCCGAAACCTACTACCACTTCGCCGACAACGGTTACGTAACACCTGCTGAAGTCAACACCAACGAAGCAGAACGCATAGGGCCCAACTTCGCACCTGATCCAGAAGCTGGAGACGAGGCAGTCTATCCCGAGGACACCACACTCCCCCGCTACACACAGAGTGGACTCCAGATACTCGGGCTCGTCACCGCGGTCCACGGCGCCGCCATTCCTAAAGAGCCTGCAACGGTTCAGCAGGCTCTGGGGGGGGAACACAGGGAAAAATGGCGCGAAGCCATGGACAAGGAGCTGAAAGCGCTAGAAGAACGCAACACCTGGAAAATCGTTCCTATCGGTGTAGCACGAAACAAGACCATCCTCACCGGAAAATGGGTCTTCCGCGTGAAGACGAAAGCAGATGGCACCATCGACAAATTCAAGGCGCGCTGGGTCGTACGCGGCTTCGACCAAGAGCACGGACGCGACTTCACCGAAACCTTTGCTCCGGTCAGCCGACACACCTCACTACGCATTCTCCTCGCAATCGCCGCCATGAAGAAGAAAAGGCTACGACAAATCGACGTCGCAAACGCCTTTCTCTACGCACCTGTTGACGCAGAAATTTTTGTGGAGCTGCCGCACGGCTCCAACACAGATTCCACGCATGTCTGCCAGCTGCTCAAGTCGCTTTACGGAATCAAACAGGCCCCGCGACTATGGCAGCAATACCTGCACGCTCGTCTCATCCGCATCGGCTTCAAGCAACTCCCGTACCGGCTCTCACGTACCGGCTACGCCTACCGCCTCGAACCTATCGGACCTATTTCCTGGCAGTCGAGCAAGCAGGAGTTAATCGCGCTATCATCAGCTGAGGCAGAATATATCGCACTCTGCTCAGCCACCAAGGAAGGCCTTTATCTCCGCGAGCTGCTGGAAGAAGCAAAGTTAGCTGAGTTACCCAACTTCACCCTGTTCTGCGACAACCAGTCTGCAATTCGCATCGCCAACAAGAACGGTTTCGCGAACAGGACGAAACACATCGCACTGCGCTACTTCTTCGTGAAGGACGAGATCGAGAAGGGGAGACTTCAGCTGTCATACTGTCCCACGTCCGAGATGGCAGCCGATTATTTGACCAAGAAACTCGGAAAGCAGAAATTCGAGTACTGCATGCTGCTGACTGGACAGAGCCACGTCATCAGCAACGACACTCCAGAAGCGAAGGGGAGTGTTGGAAATAGTGAATCTTAAGCGCTTCAGTCGTGTCGAAACATCGCACCAGAAGCGAAGCAAGCTGTATCGAAACAAACGCGAGTCAACCTTCGGAGGTTGAGAAGTTGCCGGAGGTTACGCGAAAGTCAAAGGTCAAGCGACCTTTGACCTGACAAATACAGCGCGACAGTTAAGGACACACAACTGACTCGTTACAGAGCAGTTGCCCGAGTCGTACTGTATCGAACCGCAACAGCAACAGTAAAGTAGTTACAAACTGCATCCTTTCATATTCCTTGTATTATTATATAATCTTGTACTTCCTTGCTATAATCAATCTACTTTGCCCTCATATACCAGCGCAAGGTGGTTCACAAACTTTGTTAAACGCTTCCGCTATTACAACACTATCCCACCCAGAGTTCTCCCTTGAAAAGATCCTAAGGGGCTATCTCAGCAGGTGAGAACAATAACTACTTTTGCTGTTGCTGTTGCGGTTCGATACAGTGACGACTCGGGCAACTGCTCTGTAGCGAGTCAGTTGTGTGTCCTTGCTGTCGCGCTGTACTTGTCAGGTCAAAGGTCGCTGACCTTTGACTTTCGCGTAACCTCCAGCAACCTCTCAACCTCCGAGGGTTGACTCGCTGGTGCTTCGATAGGCTTCGCTTCGATTGTGCCTTAGTGTTTCGACACGACAGAGGCGTTTAATATTCATTGTTTCCAACAGAACTAGCCTTGTGGCTCTTTTGCTTGTGCTCGGAGTGTGTGGAGACGTAATCCACCGTAAGCTTTGTTTCATTTTGACTGGTCTTGTGACCGTACACTTTCAGCTTTGCTTGAGACCGATCACTTAAGACTATTGGGGTTTGTAATAGGAGGTACAACTGTTAGGGTTAGGTTTATGTACCGCAACCAACCTTAGTCATACCAACACTTTCAATAACAGGGAAGTGTATGCGCTCTAAGTATTGAACTTGCTCATTTGGTTGAAAGAAAAATCATAGGGAGTAAACATTAACCTCATTAAATTTCCACCACAAAAATGAGAGCATAGACAAGAAAATCGTTGGTTGCACCACCAAGAACCTCGAAGGTATGGCAGAACTAAATACATGAGGCAGCTTTGCAAGTAATGTACAAGAACCGCACACCACCGCTTCTGTACACCCCCTTTCCTCTCATCCGTCCCGCTGTACTCCCCTAGAGCTGCGGCCCTGCAGCGAGAATATCCGCCGCAAGCTTGCCATCGCTGCCATTCCCGTCGTACTCGGCGAACTTCTTGAAGTTGTCTTGGAACAGCCGCGCTAGCTTCACCAGAGTCGCCTCGTACGCCGCCTTGTCCTCCCACTGCGCCATAGAGCACAAATGAAAGCATACACACAGCAATGAGGTTAGGGGCACAACGGAGACCACAGGAAGCGGGTGAGGGAAACATCCAGCAGCAGCATCTCTCCGATGGCAGGATCATTCGGCTAATGGCATTCAACATGGGGGAAACGAGAAGGTTTATCCCTTGAGAGCAGTTAGCTGCGCACGCACCATGTTCTGCGGCATGAGAATCTCCGACGGCACGCCGTTGACGGCATGCGGGACCTGCAGGCCGAAGATGGGCGTGGCGCTGTACGACGCGTCGAGCAGCGAGCCGTCGTGAATGGCGTTCACGATGGCGCGCGTGTGCTTCAGCTTCATGCGCTGCCCCACGCCGTAGCTTCCGCCCGACCACCCCGTGTTCACCAGCCACGCCGTCGCGCCGTGCCGCTGCATGCGCTCCGCGAGCATCGCGGCGTACTTGGTGGGGTGCCACATGATGAACGCCGCGCCGAAGCACGCGGAGAAGGTTGCGCGCGGCTCCTTCACGCCGTCCTCCGTGCCCGCCACCTGCACACGCGCGCAGACACAGACGAGCCGAAGGGAGGATGTGAGGAGAGGAGACGGAGAGCGGAGAAGTGGAGAGGGGGAGCAAACGGAGAAGCAGCTGAGACGGACGGTCAGGGATCTGCGGTCTGGTCTGACAAGAGGAAGTCGTCAGAAGAGATGCTAGCTGAGCCGTGGGACAGGCAACGGAACCCTTAAACTCTCCTACGGGAAGGGCTGCAATGAGCAACAATAGAAGAAACAGGGTCAAGGATTAGTGGTAGTTTGTACTGGTGTTACTGACCAGAGCGGTGTAGCCGCTGATGAAGTGGTACATGGTCTGCGGCAGGGAGAGGCGGCTGACGGGCGGCAGCACGCCGAAGGCGTCGCAGGCGAGCAGGATGACGTTCTTGGGGTGCGGGCCGACGCAGGGGATGCGCGCGTTGGGGATGAAGTCGATGGGGTAGGACGCGCGCGTGTTCTCCGTGACTGACTTGTCATCGTAGTCCACCTCGCGCGTGTGCTCGTCAAACACCACGTTCTCCAACACTGCTCGCGCGGGGGATGGGGTGAAGCACAAAAGCGGGTGCAGCAACGGGAGCAATGGGTTAAGAAAACGAAAGCAAGGGGAGATGTTGGATCAAGAATCAACCGGTTGGGGAGTGGGGAGGGGCGAGGGGAGCAGCAAGGGGAGGGTTAAGGGGAGGGGAAGGAGGAAATTCAAGAGGGGGGAAGGAAGCAGTACTCAAAAGTGAGAAAAGGGCGCGGCAATAGCAGGAGAGCCGCCCAGTCACTGTACCTGTGCCGAACTTGATGGCGTTGAAGATCTCGGGCTCGTTCTCCGCAGACAGGCCGATGCACTTGGCGTAGCACCCGCCCTCGATGTTGGACACGCCGTTGTCCGTCCAGCAGTGCTCATCATCCCCAATCAGATCCCGGTTCTCGTCCGTCGACAGCGTCGTCTTGCCCGTGCCCGACAGCCCAAAGAAGAGCGCCACGTCTCCGGCCTTCCCCATGTTGCACCCAGAGTGCAGCGAGAGCACGCCGCGCTTCGGCATGAGGTAATGCATGACGGAGAAAAGCCCCTTCTTCATCTCGCCCGCGTACTGCGTGCCCAGGATCACCATCTCCTTGCGCTGCAAGTTTAGGTCGATGCTCGTGGAGGAAGTCATGTAGTGCGTGAAGCGGTTGCAGGGGAACTGCCCTGCGTTGTAGATGGTGAAATCCGGCTTGCCGAAGCTCTCCAGCTCCTCTGCTGTCGGCCGAATGCACCTGCGAGAGGGGCAGGGGAACGAGGGGCAGGGAGGGAAAAGGCGGGTGAGGAAACGGCAGCGGGATGCGTGGAGCACTGTGACTAGAAGCGCATTTCACAGGGTGAGGGAATGAAGGAAAGGGTGACAGAAAGAAAAACTAGCGTTTATGGTTATGCCCTGCTTGAGAAGATGCGCCGAAGGTTAAAACCGGGGTCTCAAGTTTCCCGAAGTTGCCTCATCCTTCCTACCTTTGGTTGGGTTACAAGGTCCAACCAAGCTTCCTACCTTTGGTTTTGGCACAAAGTCCAACCAACCTTCCTACCTTTGAAACCTGTGGACCCTGGGTTTTAAGGCCCGACGGAAGCAGTGGGTGCACAGCATGGTGGCAGCGAGGGACTAACATGTTGTGCATGAAGAGCGCATGGTAGGCCCGTGCAGAGACGATGCGCACTTTGAGCCGGTGCTCCGTCTCCCAGTTGAGAAACTGGTCGTTCACAAACACCTGCACCACACACACACGCACACACGGCACACAAATCAGATTCCTCTAGAGTCGAGATCCGTTCAGCTCGCCCCGGTAGTAACCACTAGGGTGCTTACTGCTGCAAAGTCCAAGCAGCGTTGAGCAAAACTTGTAACCGTACCTTGTCGAGCGAGTTGAGGTAGTCCACCGCTCTCTCGCGGTTCACCAGAAATGTCTCCTCGTCCATCTCGATGTTGGGCGACCCCCTGCCACGCCAAACCACGTCACGTCAACCAGCTCGTCAGGGGAAGCAACTCGAAAGTAAACGCAGAACTTGCAGCAGAATTACTGGCCATGGTGGCACAGCAGAAAACTGAGGCACTTACTCGCCCCACCACAGGTCGTCGCTGGAAGTTTCCTCCTTGACGACGCGCTTGTCCTTGGGCGATCGCCCCGTCTTGGCTCCCGAGAGCGTCGCCAAGGCGCCGGACGACGTGATAAACGACCCCTTTTCGTACTTGATCGCCTGCTCGTAGAGTTCTGAAGGACACAAGCGACAAGGACACACGGGAAATCAGCCAATGAACGAGCAGTCCCACGCAAAAAAGCTTGCTAACAAACCGTGTGACTCAAGTTGCTTGCAGAAAAGCATGCCACATCTTTCATTCCACTCCCCAGTCCCACGTGTTTCGGGACGCGCACTGACCAGCGGGCGACAGGTTGTAGAGCACGTGCGTGAGTTTGAGCGAGCTGTCGCTGACGCACGGCTGCGACGGAGCGACGGCCCTGTGGCCCTGCGACGCCGGCTTGCACTTGCTCGTCACAATCTTGGGCCCATGCTCCCGCACGTGAGATGCCAGAGACGCACTGCGATAGAGAATGACGGCGAGATATTCATGATAAGACTACTTCCTCTACTATACTTCATTCCCGACACACGTAACATGTAAAGAGTCTCGAACAGATTAGGCGTTCTGCGAGCGCTCACCTGATGGACTCGAGCTGTTGCTGGAATTTCTCGCCGTTCTGATCGCCGGTAGTGGAGCCCCTGGGCGTGGTCGGGTTGGACTTCTTCTTCTGCAGCCGGTGAAGCTCGGCCATGGTGGATGCCTTGATCGGCGGCGCCGTGTCGTTCTGGCACACCTCCCTCCCGCGCACGTCGAGGAGAGTCAAGCCGTTGGCCGTGGGAGCAGCAGTTGTCGACATGTCCAACTCGAATGTGGTGACGAGAGAGCACAAAATGGTGCAACTAGTGATACTGCAACTACTTGTAAGGAGATTCGAGTACTCCCTCGTCAGGTGACCAGCGATGAAATATGAACGACGACGATAACAAGAATCAGCACGTGGGATTCCCAATGTTAGCAACCGGAAAACAAGCACTTCTTATTCTTGAACGAGCGTCGAACGAATCTAACGCCGACTGGTGTGGGGCCGCGACTGGCCCAACCAGGTCAGGTGGGGCAACCCGTGTGTGCTGAGCTGACGAGGAGGGAAGCAGCGGAGTTGGTGCGACCAGAGGTATGGAAGGGAGTGGAAGAGAATGCGAACATGCGCGCACGCAAGACGAGCGTGAGGTGGGACGAGGCGCGCCGATTATCCGCCAATGGGAGGCCAGGCTGCCGCTTGGGCGTTTGTCATCAGATGGTGTGCGCGATCCGAATACAGCTCCCGTGGGGTGGTGCGAGGCGACAAGTCTGCGTCACGCCAAGTCAGTGGGCCAAGAAAATGACCCGGCTGGGTTAATCCGACGTGTACATCACTGGACCACAGTAAGTCAACCCCGGGCCACGAAAGGTTGTAAGCCAATCACTGAAAGCGGGACCACCAACATCCAACTACAAACAAACTGTATAGATATACACCAATGACCTCTGCTCGTTACCGATTTATTTCACCAGCATTGCTTTAGATGACAATATTTTACCACCACACGCAACCACTTCACTTCTGGAGTTTTGAATCAATAAAGTTGCCTCGTTTTATGGCAGATGCTGAGAATTGTGAAAGATGGTGTGGCGTGTACTCAGGTACCATGTGAGAAAAGTGAAACCCCTCCCCTGCGTTGGACTATCAGACCACATCCTGTGGAGGAAACCATCCAGCAGAGTGCAGAGGTCTGACACAACAATGGCAAGAATTTGGCCTTGAAACAAAAGCTCAAGCCAGGAATACATGTGTGCAACCTGAAGCAGACACACATAGGGTCAAACAAATGCCACGGCGACAGGGTAGAGTAGAGCCTATGCCATGGAATATAAACCCTCCTCAACAATCCACTACATATGATATGCATACGCCTCCAACCAGACCAGAGCCTAGGGCAGTGCTGCTTCAACAAGCACCAGAAGAGCTGCACTGCTTTTCAGACCACGCGTTATGCTTTATAGAGCTCCCACGTCCTTTCTCCCATCCCATAGGAGGTGTTCCCAACCTCCCACTCCATCCCCGGCCACCCTCACACAAAGCGGTGAAACAGTGCCTCCGCCAGCTCCTGCTTGCCTGACCCCACCTCGGGCTCCTTACCGCCATCCGCCAACACTGCCGCTTCCAGCTCCTCAAACCCCACCTCGCCCTTCTCAATCCGCGGACCAATCCCCTCCTTCCAGCTGGCATACCGCCCCTGCACCAGCTTGTCCAGGTCCCCAGCCTCGATAATAGCAGCGGCGCTGCGCAGCCCGCGCGCGAGCGCGTCCATGCCCGCGATGTGTGCAATGAACAGGTCTTCCACGTCTGTGCTCTCCCTTCGCAGCTTCGCGTCGAAGTTGATCCCCCCCGGCGCCAGCCCGCCGTTGCGCACGATCGCCAGCATCACGCGCGTTGCGGCAGCGGGGTCCGTCAGAAACTCGTCCGTGTCCCACCCGGTCTGCGCGTCGCCCGTGTTCGCGTCCACGCCGCCCAGCGCGCCCGCGATGCGCGCCGTCTCCAGCTCGTGCTCACAGCTGTGTCCCGCCAGCGTCGCGTGGTTGCACTCCAGGTTCAGCTTGAACGGCTGTAGCGTGCCTGTAGCCGCGTCGAGCCGCGTGAGATTGTAGCGCACGAGAAACCCTAACGTGGTGGCGGCATCCCAGTCGTACTGGTGCTTCGTCGGCTCCTGCGGCTTAGGCTCCATCAACAACGTGCCTTTGAACCCTAATTTCTCTCTCCACTCCGCAGCCATGGCGAGGAATCGCGCTAGGTGGTCCAACTCAAGTCCCATATCCGTGTTAACCAAGCTCGAGTACCCCTCGCGTCCCCCCCAGAACACGTAGTTGTCGCCGCCCAGGCGGTGCGTCACCTCCATCGCCTTTTTCACCTGCGCCGCGGCGTACGCGAAGACGCTCGCCACGGGGCTGGTCGCGGCGCCGTGGCGGTACCGCGGGTGCTTGAACAGCTGCGCCGTGCCCCACAGCGGGCGGATGCCCGTCTGCGCCTGCAGCTCCGCCGCGAGCGCAACCACCTCGTCGAGATTCGCGTTGGTTTCCGCGAGCGTTGCGCCTTCCGGCGCGATGTCGCGGTCGTGGAAGCACCAGTATTGCGCGCCGAGCTTCGACATGAACTCAAACGCCGCGCGCATGCGGCGCTTAGCCATGGCGAGAGAGTTGGTGCCGTCCTCCCACGGCCAGTGCTTCGAGGGGGAGCCGAACGGGTCGGATCCGTCGCCGCGGAACGTGTGCCAGAACGCCACGGCGAATCGCAGCCATTCCTTCATCGGACGGCCGAGAATGACCTCATCCGCGTTGTAGTAGCGAAAGGCGAAAGTGTTGCGCGACGATGGGCCTTCGTAGACAATCTTGGGGATTGCTTGGAAGAACTCGCCCTGCCATTCCTTGGCTTCCGCGGATTCGGGATCCCAGCCGCACGTCTCGACAGCGTGGACGAGCGGCGGGATGAGCACGCAGGCGACGATTCCAAGGAACAAGAGCGCGCGGCTCGCGCGGGGAGAAACCATAGAGACAGCCATGGTGGAGAAAGAAGTGCAGGGTAGAACGTGAGGGGCGAGATTTGAGGGGGCAGGGACACAGCAGTGGTGACGTGCCTTGTTGCTGGATCTGTTCTGCCGTATGCCTGCATTCCCCTGCCAATGCGGTCAGACTAGTTAACAGATTCAGCGGGGAATTTCCGGGTGGTTAAGTATCTGTACTTACATTGGAACCGGTGCTTTTTCCGCGCAACTGAAGTTGTACACCATCATGAGAGCGAGTGGTCCGTGGGGATGTCACAGAACGTAAATTTTCCTCGTGATTTGGGGTTTCCCCAAACATTCTCCTGATTTAGGCAACAACAGCCCCAGTGGATTTCAAAGCCTATCCACTTTCCCTCTTCAAACTCCACCTGGCAGAATATCACAACTATGCTCAAACGAAAAAGAAAGTCTTCGCCACGGCTTGTGACTGTACACGAAAAGGCCATTCAAAGTTTACCTCGTCGCAGCCCCTTGACGAAACCAATCCTGTCTAGGTTCGCGTTCCTTGCCCAGCTCAGCAGCACTTGCCACCACGTACCCCCTCCTCCCTGCATTCCAACAAACAAATTCCACATTTTCTGTCTGTCTGCAACACATTTATCGCCCTTTCGCTCGGTCGCGGTCGAGCTCTGTGTCTCGTCCCCTTCCCACGATGCTCGTCTCGCTCTGCTCTGTGTCGCACTCGCCCCTCCTCTGCACGCTTGAACTCTCTCGGGCCTCCTTGCGCACCGCTCTCGCACATTCCCGTTGCTCCGCCTCTCATACCTTCCATCCGAGCCGTCCCTCGTCTCCTGCGCCCTTCCGCCCACTGCTTCCGCGCAAGTCGTCATCGAATTTGCCTCTCCGCAGACATTCCCCCGCCATGCAAGTCGTACGGTCGCAGGCGGGCGATGCGACGGTCGTCGTCAGGCCGTCGCTGCCGTCGCTGCAGGAGTTCCTAATGGAATCCCTGGCGACGCCCGCCGGCGACGGCGGCGGGAAGGGCGCGAGCGAGGGAGGGGTCGACAGCGATCTGGTGCTGCTGCTGCTGACGCTGCACGACGCGATGAAGCGCATCGCCGTCACTGTGAGCCGTCTCAACATCGAGACCGCCATGGGAGCGCGGCTGAGCGGCGTCAGCGGCAGCAAGAACGAGTCGGGCGACGCGCAGAAGCCACTCGATATTGTGTCGGTAAGGGGTTGGGTTCTTTCGACGCAGGCGTGGTCGCGTGCGGTACCAAGCGGTACAACGGTCGGGGCGCGGGCGTGAGGAGCGCGATGTTAAGTGTCTGTGACGAGTGCTCGCGTAATGTGCACTAAACTCTTGGCGTTCCGTACGGC